GTTATCCTCTTTCCTCCCCTGTATAAGAACTTCATGATCAAAACATCAAGAGAGATTAAGATCCGAACGAGGTAAGCATGAAGTTCACTGCACAGGAAATAAGTGCAGATGGATCTAATGACATCTGCAGCATTTATTTTTCAAATTAAACGACTCAAAGGGGATCTTTAATTCTGCTGACAAAACTGAAGTCTGACATTCAGACGTGTTCATAACGCAGTAATTCATTCAAAGTCTTTATACTTAACATATTGTGTCAATGAGGCATTTTTGCACAGATCTACACACACAACAGCATCATGTTGGGCACACAAAGAGTGGTGCTGTTCAGTGTTCAGGCAAGCAAAATGAGTATACAATAACTGAAATGTACTATTACAAAACATATGCCTTTCACTTAGAAAGTGTCAACAAGAATTGCTCAAAGGACAAATATATTGTATTGCAGTCCAGACATGATATTCTACTTTTTCTCTCATTTGCATGTTACTCAGTTTGCATAATTCTGACAAAAATGGTTGGGGAAATATCAATTAATTGTTTAATTTTAGTACCTTTTTCCATTATCACCACTAAAAATACTTCGACCAACACACATGAATACTACTTTGACCTCTTTTTAACGTTCAACTTCACTTAATTCATCCGAGCTGAGATATTAAAAGACATGATTTATTAACATTGTTCAATAGTATCACAACAAAAATTATGAAATGAAACAAATTTATGAAATGTCTTTTTTCACAATGTTAAACTTTTGGACATATCCATATCTAATGGGAAAACTTATAGTACTCAGTTAAAACTTTCACATCTTTTTGCAAAAAACAAAAAAATTGTCTTTATCTTTTATTATCCACTTTTTTCTTCTTCATAATAAAGTTAAAACAAATGACAATAACAATAACTCTCTGGACATACCTAAATAAACAATACTGATACCTTTTTGTGATCATAAAAAAAGTGGGTTAAACATTAATAAAATTCCAAACAGTCACAATCAAAGCCCAATACAGACCAAATACAGTTCCAGAACATGACCATCAACACCCCCCCCCCCCACTTTGTGGGTTACATGATTAAGTGTCAGTGCAAGTGTTAAGAGTTGGTGTTTGTGTTAGGAGCAGACATGCAATAAGTCACAAGTCCTAAGTTTACACCTTGTGCATATTAAATGTTAATGCTGATAAACACCAAAGTACCAAGGGCCAGGCCATTAGAAATAATCATGTGTACAGATTCAAGAAGTATTTCAACATTTCACTGTTTTAAAGTAAAATAATAGTTAATAGAATATAAAAGCATCATAAATGGGAACCAGTAAACAGTTGTTACATGGAACCACTTAAATTAATATCGTTTTATAACGGTTCAATGCGCCAAATTTATGGTTTCTCATGATGAAGGGTGTTTAATTGGCGCCTATATATTGCCAGAAGGTTGTTAACACCGCTCTAGCTCTGAGCAAATCAGCAGACTTGAGTTCATTAAAATCAATTTAACCTTATCATTTTCTCAGAGTCAATGTAAGAATGAAAATATACTGTTTCTATTGTAAAACTAATAGTGTTAAAATTACCTGGGCATCGTTTCATGAAACCTTCATAAGTACAGCTTAACGGACATCCCATTCAAACTCATGTTCAATTCAATACACATGTTTCAATGGGATGTCGGTGAACTTGTACTTATGACGATTTTATGAAACGTTGCCCTGGTTGTCTTCGTTCTGGTGTTCAGCACCTGACATCACGACGCTGGCCTTACAGTCTTACACCGATGTCTTCTTCAGGACGATTCAACAAAAATATTCACAATGGCAATGTCCGCATGTGAGTTGCAAAAATCTTCTTACGCACACATGGCAATGAATAAATATATTTACATACACACACATAAAAAAGGAAAACAAAGGAAGGATCTTAGTCTATATTAGCATAGCAAAACCGAGTGGCACAAAACGAGAAATCCCAAACATTTAACAGTGTATTGTGGTGATGTTGGAGCAATTAATTTTCTAATCAGAATTATCTGATGCACAGATATGTTATCGTACAGACTGATCGAGGTAGCGGGGGTACGCATTTGCACTTGATGCTAATACTGTGTCTCTGCCTCCACGCAATAAAATAATGTTTTCTCCAACAATTTATGGTGATATTTTCTCAGTATGACAATTTGTGCCACTAAGCTTCATTAAACTGCTACATAATACTAACTAAAGGCAGAGAATTCAAATTATCTGAAAATACAAAGAAACTATTACACCTTTGGTCATGATTTTGAATAATTAACTTACCGGTATACGTTGCATCAAAATTGATTGAAAGGATTTGAGAACATCCCAAAGGAAGCCAATATATGAACAACTTCATCAAAATCCTTATATCTCAAGTTGAAAACAAAAAGGGATCTTAATACTGAAGGGTAGGATTTTAAAGTTTGTTTATGCTCCCAGGCAATACAATATTTTGTAATTCACTTTTATGCTGGTTATGTCATGACAAGTATGATCATGCCTTATTTCCTTGTAATAACCTCTTTTCCAAGATGAACTTTAGAAAAAAATGGTTTTAAGATTTGTTATCTTCCTTCTGTTAAACATGTCTCACTAAGTTGTTGCAAGAGCACTCAATCTTCTTTAAGGCAATAAGATTTTTCTTGTTCACATTGTAAAAGAATTCCCCTCAAGTCTATTAACAAGTATATTGCAAATGATAATACAACAAAAATGATAATACAACAAAAACGAAATTTTGCTTTACTCTACTCACAAATACGACTTAGTAAAAAGAACTGAACCAAACTGCATCGGAACAGAGATAAATCATCTCATTGCACAAATCAAAAAACAAAAAAATTACTGACAAGCCTACAACTATTAATTAAAAACAAAAGCAATCAAAATATACTCGAAGCCTTTCTTGCTGCACACAGTTTTGTTACAAACTTAGCCAACGCTACTTTCGTCTTTCTTACAATTCTCTTATATTCTGTGCTTTACAATCTATGTACACATAACAAGACACTTTCTTGGTTTGAAAAGTACTAGTATTCATGATTTGTTTTTCTTTTGTCATATGAAAAAGTACTTTTACTCCTCCTCACTTTACAAGACCATTTTTCAAACTTAAATCTTTCGTTTCAAAATCACACCTTACAAACCTGCCAAATGGCATTCTTTGTCAAAGAGTTACACTTAGATATATGTTCAAAATAATCTCCATATGAAAAAAATGAAACAAAACAAAATTTTGGTGATGAGTGTAAGAAGTGAAAAGAAGACAAAAAAAGTTGGAGGAAAGTTTGAGGAAGGGGGAGAGAGGAGAGAGAGAGAGAAGAGAGAGAGAGAGAGAGAGAGAGAGAGAGAGAGAGAGAGAGAGAGAGAGAGGAGGGGGAGGGGGGGGGGGGGGGGGGAGAGAGAGAGAGGGGGAGGAGGGGTAATAACAGAGGGGGAAACAATTTGCTATGACCGCAGAAAATACCAAGTTTCGTAACATATATCCAAGTATAACCATACAACCAAATGTTACATCATCGTTCAATATACAAATTCATGCACAAAGTTGAGTTGCTGTACAATACTTTACAAATCTTTCTCCATCCATACCTATCCTGCTCTCTACTCCTCATCCCTCTAAAACTGTCCCAAAACTGTACCTTCATCCGTTCATTAATAACATACCCATTGCTTCCCATGTCAACATAACTCATGGTCCATTCAGACTGGAGAAAATTAAACAAACTTGTATAAAGATAAGTTTTTGTACGACATGACGTTCCTTACCAAGTTTTCATTCGTAACGATTCTTGAACATGTGTTTTGCTAACAACGTTTCATAATACGTCAATCAAGTTCAGACAAAAAAACAAAACTCATTGTATACCTACACTGTTTTCATAAAGCTACGCCATAAATCCTGGTTGTCTGAATAGGGGGCTGGTAGTTGAAAAAGTACTTACGCCACTATAGGTTCAAAGAAATTGATCATTGTTGCAGATATTATTCTTAGCCACATATTTATCAATATTTTCAAAAAAGCATTTTATCGCCACATTCTCAAGCAGCGAAACCAATGAACCGATAAAAAGAGGCTTTAGGCTCCCCTGAATGTCATCGACAAAATCAATTACAAATATTATTCTTAGCATGACATGAATGATATTGTAGACATGGTACTATAATCATACATAAAGCAACTGTTTCAAGGTTACTAGACATAGCGCAGTACTGTAAATATTATTCAAAGTATTCACATTCTTCTTTAAATTGAGAAATACTTTAACACTCACATTTATTCCTTGAATGGCAAAATATTTGATGGCTTTATAAAGATGACTACAGGGGTCTTCAGGCATGATGGGTCGCATTGAAAATAATATGATTACAAGAAAAGTACCGCCAATAAAAACATTCCCTGGTAGTGTTATGCACATATCACAGAATGGTTGATTTCAAGAATTCACAAGAAACAATTAAATATATTTGACAGAAAAGTCTGGGATACCATATGAGTTGAGGATAGGAATTGGAAAGTATCATGCTGACTTATTAATGTATGGATACACACACCTCTTTTTAAAGGGAGCGCGGGTAAGGTATTCTAAAGACAATAAATGAATGAAGGAGCCTTATTTGCGGTATTCATTAGAATATAAAATCAGCTACGTACAGGGTTTCAATAAAGAACACAATCTCCTATCTCCCTATCTCTAGATTCACAATTGATTTCAATTGTTGCAAAACACAGGTTTCAGTTGAACTAGATGCTGGTTGTTAGCTTGGTCTATTAAAGTCAGGTTGAACATTGCAGAACCTTGATGAAAATTGCTTTGGGAGACGTGACTTTAAACAGACCTATAACCTGGTGTGGGTCTAAATGTATTCGAAGATGGGAAGGTATGTTTCTGACAACCGTTAACAAAAACAGTGTCATTAATTATCTATACTCCAGCAGGTTTGACATCTGCATATACCCCATCAAAGGTTTCTGTTTAAAGGTTTCTTTTTTATTGGCTTTAGCATCTTTTCTACGATTTGATCTGTTATTGTTTGGACTTAAATAGAGTAATGTGATTACTCTTTGAAATGTAGTTGAAAACAAATGAAGTATTTCATCGGTTTTATCATTCCATTTACACCTTAATCTGTTATTTCTCATCAAGTGCAGTCATCCAATTTCTCATTTTGTATAATATATGATAGAAATGACAGGTTGATTAATTCGTTTAAAATGGAGATTTCACTCACCGCAAATCGCGGAAAGGGGTCAATTGCTGCTAAATCATTCATGTCTCCAAGTTGTTCAATCGAAATAGGCTGACAAGCATAGCAATAGTAGGTGTAAAAACACCGTTCTACTCCAAAATTAAGGCAACAGATCCCAACAAATCCCCTCACTAATGAGTGTGCATGGGAGCATCACGCAAAATCCTATTAATCGGACTATCAGGTATGGCTTTATTGATGACAGCCTGACAAAAGCCCCGCAAGGACAGACAATTAACGACGATCCCTGGTTTCAGGCTTGGTGAATTGGCAAACAATGGGAAGGTTCCCATAACAGTATGTCTATTTGAAGTTAAGGACGTGGTTACAAACTTGGAAATTATCTTGTAGTTAGGGACCGTGTGGACTCACTTGTGGTTATATAAATTTGATGATAAAGGTTTAATTCCCTCCCCACAATATTCTAAATCACAACTAGAGGCGTTAGCTTTTAAAATTTGATAAGAAAATTCTCCTTTCATTCTGATAACCGGATTTGTGAAATATAAATTGCTAAGAAAAATAAGTAGCCGAGATAAAACTGATTTATTTCTCTTATTATTAAGATGCCGCAGATAGAATAAAGAGTTATATGATGGAAACTGGATTTGTGAAATTAAATTGTCAAGAAATATGAAGTCCATGCCCGAATGGATAGTAGCCGAGATAAAAATGATTTATTTCTGTTATTATTAAGATGGTGCAGATAGAATAAAGAATAATATGACGGTAAACTGGATTACGCCAAATAATTGCGTTTTCTGAGATGAGACAAAGATATAGCGCTTAGAGACTTTGGTGGTAAGCGCTTTATGAGCACTGTTTTTTAAATTGTTATTATTTATTTATTAATGGCCTATGGATTGAGCCAAGGGACGTCTTATCTGCCTTAAGTAACCAATTACGGGGGAAAGCATGCTGTCTATTTGGAGCCAGAACAACATTAACTCATGAACTATAAACACAGATTTAACGCCCTTCTGGCTCTGACCAGACATTATGAAGGAATGGATTATTCAATAATCCTCGCCAAAATTGAATTATGAAAACAACTCATATGGTATTCTCTGGGGCATAGAAGGCTAAGATTGTGTAATCATAAATTGGCAACCAACATATGCTTGAACCACACTTGCCTATAAGCTATCGTCGGTTCTGCTTGTAATGTGGAATATATGCATAACTGGCTCTATTTCTGGACTAGCATCCAAATAAATTTAATTTTAAAAAACAGTTTTTGACCATAATTCATTTGGAGACATAAGGACAAAACAGACAATATAATTATCATTGTATGATCAATTCTTTATATCACAGCCTGAAAGAGATCTCATGCTTCATTCTGTGCAACGTAAACAGTACTTTTCAAATATTAGCCTGGTTCTCAGACCTAGCCTTTCTTTCTTTACGATGCACAAGAGTTAAACAGAGTCTGGAGTGTAAACTATGTCCTCTCCAATTACATCGCTCCCCTCAATCATATGGGAGAAAACTCAGTATGGAAGCTAGGTTAATTTGGACTTATAAAGAACTACCTTTCTGTGATATGATCAATTTTCACTCTAAGTTGGAACAGAAGTTGCAATTCTAAAGAATTCAGTGAATACACAGCTAGCCTAAATCATATGGAAAGAATCACTCATTACGCTAGTTTGAGCTGACATGGAGCTCATGTAACCTAATTTGGCACAATTTCGACATATTGCATCGAAGACTGATCGCTAGATACACTCAAATTGGCAGTACATCAGCACTCATCAAGTACGTTGGACCCCGGTCAATCAAGGATCATTTGGCTTTTCTTCAATCTGCATTCAAGACTTCACTTGTGCAAGCAAAATGTACATGACATATGACTGCCTTGTACATTAGGGTTCTTGGAGGTACATAAAGGGGAATACCCGAATTACATCATAAAAGAAAAGTACATGTACACATACAAGACAGCGATGGTCAATAAATAGCGATGCTTCTTGGTATCTCTAACATCACAAAATCAGGAAAAAAAGACAAACAAAAAGGCAAGGTATTTATTTTCATTTTTTGGAGTAATGATGGAGAATGGGGGTGGGGCGGGGACGATTGTTATTCTCAACTAGCCTTGATCCAGCCGTTTTTGGTGAGGAAGTTGGCGATGCGCTTGCGATGCGACTTGTGCAGGTTGCCAGGGTAGCGAGTCTTGGGAGGAATGCCTTGTTTTCGTAGGTAGTGATCCTGGGAGGATGAACGGGAGAGAAGGAGGCGAGGAATAAGTTTCACTGCGGAAGGTTTTCTCTCCAAATAGGAGTTCAATACCCATCTCAGGGGCCCAATAAATTCTAAGCATATTTCATGACATTAAGCAAAATAGAGAAAATGGAAATTGATAAGTTGAATGGCAGACATGAGTCTGTCCACAAATGAGCTTATAAGAGCAACGATAAGGGACCAATAAATATCAAGCATATTTTGCGATGATATGAAATGCTTCCTATCGAGACTTCACATGACTGGAATCAAAGTAATGAGAGAAGTAAAATAATGTGATCTGCAGAATCAGCAGAATAGAAAATATGCTAGTTCACTTCTAGGTGTTTTAACATCAAATAAATGTCCATTGAGTTTCTGTTTAAACACAGATGACTTATACATCATTTTTAACTACGCATGATCATTTTTTTTTGTCCAGTGGTCAGATATCCTGTCCTACTCAAAATTAACTGAAATGAAAATCTATCAATGTTATGAACTACTGCCAATATTGTCTTAACATCTAAAATAAGAATATACTATGGAGACAAAATATATTTAGAGTATTTACCTTTATGATGAGTGTTTTCAGGGTGACATATCTAGCTGGCTTCATCTTCATAGACGAACAGAGCTGGAAAAAACAGAGAGTTAATTTAAGGTAATTAATATCAGGGACTTGCACGATCCTCTGCATTACAATACGCAAACCGAGAAGGTATCAACTACATAGAAAAGTTGCTTGCGTGGAATTAAGCCTGTTTTTGCTTCTCTGTGTGTTAGTACTTCTCTGTGTGTTAGTACTTGATGTAGATAACAACAACACAGAAAGCTTCTTTATTCAGAGACAGAAATTTTATACAATAAATTGTTGTAGTATAGGACAATTTTAAAATGGTATGCAAACAAAAATTCTCCTGGAACAAGAAAAAAAATGAAGTAAGATACTAATAAAGTTCCTGATAAAGTTTTAAAATTATCATGGGGGGGGGGGGGGAGGGGGGGGGTCCTCTTTTAAATAACTAATAACTAACATTAAAAAAAAGATATTGATAATCATTATTTAAAAAAATACAAATGACCTAATTATATTAGAGTCAATCTTACCTTCTTTTCCCTTTCTGATAGATAACTGAATCCATGGGACGATCTCAGAGTTGGAAATTCATCTTCTATAACATCTGAAATAAGAAGAAACACTTATGCAATGATTGAAGTTTTTGAATTGCCTTTCATGAAGCAAGTCTAGTAAAAAAGAATACATACCAGTATTCATTTTTTAAATTGTTCTGGACGGATAAAGAATGGACATTTCAGAACTTCAGGAAAAAACTGTATATCAGAAAATAAAATATCTAAATTAACCTACATGAACATCTGTACAAATAATTTCAGATCTGCAACCTGGCAATGATCGAAATTGGTTCAGGGGCAAAATCATATTTACAGTCTAGAGTGTGTGCATTGTGGCTCTCTGTGCAAATACATTACAATATCAATATTACCTAGAGTAAGGTAGCCATTGCTTATAAGTACAGATTCCATACAAGCCAGAAAAAGGAAGAAGAAAAATAAAAAGTCCTGAATAACAGAGCCTTTGATTACATGTATATACATGTACGTTAAACAACTTATCACACTTTCATTTTCCATGAATAAAGACAAAACACTCTCTAAAATGAAAGTAGGGAAAAAACACAAAAACAAAAGTTATTTTGAGGATGCCTGATACGATTCCCTGTTATTCTTCCTTGTACGTTTCTACAGCAGCCGAGTTTGTATCCCAGTGACGTCAATTTCAAATATTGTTTTTGGGTCAATCAAATTGACGAAACCCAACGGAACGTGGACGCAGGACCGGGCATGGCAGGCAAAAGCGGTTGCTTTAAGTCAACTTTCTCTTTGGCTGTTGGTTTCACAGGTTTCCTATATTTCCTCCGTTAAATAACAGCCATTGGGTTGCTATGGAGACCATGACCTACATGGACAGATACATTAGCGATGTGGAGGAAAGGGCGGGCGGGCGGGCTGGAAGATGGATTGTGGTACGCTACCGTTGGGAATTGGGGAGAAGTATTACAGAAGATTTTGAAAAAATGAACACTGCTCCTTTTCCCTAAGGCTCGTACAGGTCAAGTAATTGAAGCGAGAGCAAAAATAATCACTAGCCACTTGCCAATAACTTAAAAAAATCAACAGTTCACAGACTCACACAGACATATTTATTCTAATGGAATGAATAGTCAGAGACTACATGACACTCTGGATAATTAACTTATTCATTAAATTAAAAAAGGGGACTGGTTCTATGACACATGCCCCTGCGACAATCACTCCAAAATCGAATTAAAACACTAATAAATTTATAATTACACCTCAAGACCTAACACTAAACAGAGCCACATCCCTGATCCTAAACCTAACATATCGGGATTGCCAGGAGTGTCAAGTCTGACAGATATGAGGGCTATACAAGAACCCAAAATTATTATTATTATATAACCACTCCAATCCAATCAGGGGAATGTGTAGAGCGCCAATATCTAATTTCCTAATCAATGGCGCTGATGAGACTGAACAACTACTAAATATGCCATCCATGGTTAACCTGTGGAAAGACTGGGGTAGTGGCTAGTTGTAAGCAATGTGAAAATAGGTAGGGTTTTAGCTCTGTTTTGAAAGTGGATAGCTGGTCAAAAGAGAAATAAAAAACTTCTGAATCCTCAACCCTAAATTTATATCACTGACAAAATAAAACTGGAATAAATAATGAATCACCAGAGAACATGTTTGTTCAACAAAGACCAAGCAATCACATTTATTAGACATTCTCAGAATACTTTCATTGTGTGCAACAAAGTAGTTGAGTGTCAACTATACAGTATGTACTGGTACACATAAATTGTTAATTTAGTGGAAAAGGGCCATTTAATTGCTATTATTATCAATGGCTGTTATCCCCTTTTGCTACTAAGCTGATGATGAGGGATGCTATAAAATGACAAAACATTTTGCTCCAAAGAAAGCTGTTTTATGTAAATACACTATTCGGTTGCAAAATATTGACATTTTTTCTAGAGGAGTAACCGGTTGTTGAAAGACGTTGCATCTCTTCCAGGTATTATTGATTTTGAATTCATTACATTTTTATTCTTCACCCCCCCCCCCCTGCAATTTTTTGTTTGTTTGTACTTTGTAAATGGCATGGTGCCAGAGAATTGATCATTGTGAGTCATTGAGTCTATATTACTTCAGAATACAAAAATACTATCAGGATATGAAGCAAAAAAAAATGAGGTGAAATTGTTGTTGAATGTGAAATACATTCTTGAAAAGGAAGGAAGCTTGGAAATGCTGCCATAAAGAAATTCAGAGGTGAAAATTGCTTCTTTTAGAATTTAACACATACAGACAAATTCTAAAGGGGAAAATATGAAAATTCCAATAGACTCCTACCTAATAATAAATCTAAAAAACTAACAAAAAGTATCTGACTGAGATTATTTGACAAACATGTTTTCATCAATCTCTCCTGGCAATAACAATCAGAGACAGAAAGCCAGAAATGAGAACAAAGTCGATCTGCTCATGAATCTATAAGCATTCCTTAGGAAGATGGAGGAATATATAGAAAAAGATCAAAATGCCTCAAGATAAACTACAAAGAAGGGAAATAAAGAATGATTTTATGAGTAATTTGCATGGGGATCATCTGACTTTTGATCAATCTTCTCCATCTATCGCTCTCTTCGGGCACTAAGCTTTTTTGTCTCCTGGTGAACTAAACAAAAAATTGATGGCATTTGTAGGGAGGAGAAGTCTTGCCCTATACCCATTTCCCTACATTACTCTAATTCTTTGCCACTTTAATGTCAGTTACCATCCAGCTGTAATGCCTCGTTAGAGCCTGGTTTACACGTGGTGTAGTGAAACGTCTTAAAACAATGCGGCGACATGAAATGACATGAGCACAGTGCACCGGACATTTTTGTATCTCACGATATACAGACAAGTAAGGATGCCTAGGGGCCTCGTTGCTCACAGCTATTTCTTTCATCTCTACCTGTCATTCACGAACGCTTAAATTGTTTTCATTTTGCCATGGCGGTTACTTCGAGGCGCTTTATCCTTCCCGTCTGAACAAGGCTTCACCGGTGCGGCTTGCATCTCGAGGGGGAAAGGGCAGACATTATTTCTCCATTTGTCACAAAATTGCTCTGAAATGTTACTGGGCCAATGCCCTAAAAACCCTCTTTCTTCATTCCCTTTTATTTCCTACATGTACAATGTACCTTCAGGTGCAAAGCACAACTAGATGGATACTTAGGCTTCCCCCGTACATCTTAATATGTCTCCGTACCTCAGATGTCAACCGCATTATTACACATTTCTTTATTTAGAACGAGCGATGTCTTCTTTTATTTGCCCCTAGCAAGTGGAAAGGTTGAATTATCAATTTCTGTAAGTTCATGAATACATGCATGATTGTCCCTAGCTGTGTTTGATCTTTCATTTTGGGGGTACTTATTTTAATAAATACATGTCGTTACCCTATATCTCAGCTTAATCACATCAATAAATTAGATTGAACGCCCCAAAACTGGACTTAGTATTACAGGAAAAGATTGTATATCATACCACTAAAAACAAAAGAAGAAATAAATCATGGTTGGATCTTGAAAATATATACTTTCTATCCAAATTGTGAAGGAATAGTTTTTAGTAGAACTACTTTCTAATGAAGAAATAGTTCAACCTGAGCAATGGGAATGTAAAAGAATAGCCTATATGTGGTGGTCTATGTGGTAGTTTATGTGATGGTATTAAATACTAACTCTATATCATATTCATAATTCATAATTCATTTATATCTTATTTAATGGATTATACCTTTAAAGCATGAAGTCACATTCTCCTTTTTAGTTATTATGGAACTACTATATTGAACTACTACCGGTATTTATCATTTTTTTTGTCGATGTACATTTCAATTTTATAACCTTATTTCATGTTTTCTTGTATTTCACTATAATCTGGAATGATTCTTCGTACAACTACATGTACATGTTAACACACCAATGAAGCTGTTCGATTCTAATCAATGGGCTATTTTCATTATTTAAATTAATTCATGGATTCTTCATGTACATAAATCTGCCCCCCCCCCCCCAAATAAAAAAAATAAATAAAAAAAATGATTTCCAACTTCTTGAATACTTGCCATACCTAGCAAAAACCAGTGGATTAAAAAGAAATGACATGATGACAGCTACATGTAAGGAAACATTGTTGTTTAGATAAAGCTAAATGAAATTCCTCATCAATATATCACCATAGATTAAGCACCATTAACTTCAATGCAATAGGGATAATAGCATAATTCAATGTACTTCATTGGACCATCAATAGCACAATTCTGAGCTAAATTGTGCATGAAACAGCAGCTCACGCATCATTTAAACCCCATTATAACAGAGGGTTAATAGGTGAGCAGTGATATTACGACCCCCCAAAAAGCAGATATCCCCTAATGTGAAAAAAAAAAAAAATAGAAAAACAAAATGAGGGCTTAACCTTCCTAAGGATTGGGTACTTAGAAAATGGGGATAATAAATACTTGATTCAATTTATCTTCATCGGGTAGCACGATAATGTGTCCCAGTTGTCAATATTCCAAGCATTGGTATGTGTAACATGCCATTGAATAATGGATGTACATGTAAATGAGGGGGGGGGGGGGAGGGGTGTTCTAAATGGTATGTTGCCTGATAAAAAGGGGAGGGAGGGGTGCACACTATTTTCAAAGGTAAACTTTCATCGCCATGGGTTATTAAGTATCTATAAATGGTTGAAGGTTGCGACTTTTCAGAGGAATGCTTTGAAAATATCTCAGGTCTTAAAAAAAAATAAATTAGAATTGAGGTTAAAGACCTGTCTATCAGCAGAATTCAGGTTTTTATCATGAGATTTAATCATGAGATACAGACTCAAATATCTACACTGCTGCCTTGTTGTGCAGGCAATTTCATGCACGAGAAAACATGAAAGGAAAATGAGATTAATATATTGGCCTACATATTGTTGAGTTGAAATATGTGTATCTAAGTATTTAAAAAAATGCTATTTTAAACAATATTCTGATACAAACTCTATTGCCTTTTGTTTTTATAATTATCTCATGGCATTTGTGGTAAATGTATTAAATTCCCCAGCTGTTGATAGAAAATTCTGCAAAGTCCATTTTCTACCCTGATCCGCCACTTAAAATGCTTTTTAACACATGACCCGTGTCAACCTCAAAGTTCAAATACCTCCAGAGTATAACCGACCCATCCCATTGAAGGGAATTGACCGAAATGGAAACAGGGAGAGGGGAGAGAAGTTGGGAAGAGAAAATAAAAGTGAAAAGAGAGAGAGAGAGAGAGAGAGAGAGAGAATGAGAGGGGGGGGGGTAGGGGGTAAAAGGGAGAGAGAAAAGAGGCAGAGAGAAGAGAAATAGGAGAGAAGGGGAATGGGGCCGGGAGAAGACAACAGGGAGAGGAGAGAAGAGAAGTAAAAGAGAAAGAGAGAGAGGTAAAAAAAATTTAAAAAAGGAAAGATGAATGAAATAAGTAAACTGCTCTGCACTAATGTACAGGGTTTGTAGATAGTGATAAAATCATCGAAAGAGAGTTTTTTTCCCACTTTGCTCTGTCGCTTAACACACTGGTCAATGGCCCCTACATTTCACGCTCGCTCCAACCCTGAGTTTTTCAAGCCGCCTCGAGTCCTTTCCTTCGAAATAGCGAAACATGAATCCATTTACAAATGTCACATTTCATGAAACAGCACTTATCTAGAGAGGAACAACATTAGGAGCGAATGTTCTCCCCACGCATCGCTGGATGCGATTTAATTCATTGCTTTCCGGCGAAAGGTGTCGAGCGGCACGCACTATCTTTTCAACACCCAACCAGCTCTAGGCGCGGTGCCACCAATTCGGTGGCCGCTAGTCAAGCGTGAGTAAAAACAAATCCAAAAGAAGCTAAATTTTGACTAATTTTCTTCACATGACATCTGCCAAATAGCTGCAGACCCCTTCATTCAGAATGTTTGCTCTTTTTTCTTCTTCTTCTTCTACTTAGAAGCTAAAAAGTACATGGACATTGATTATGCTCATGTACTTTCTCATGAAGTTCTGCCCGGAAGGAAAAAAGCTGAGAATATATGGATTTTCTTTGATTGTTGTTCCCATGGAAACAATTTCTCATGTGAAGCTAAACTTTTCATTGCAGGTGTCGCCTTTGAATGCCTGACACATCGACAATGGTGACAGATTGAATGCAGTTTAATTGCACAAATAAGTTTTAAAAGAAAATAAAGGCCACAAAAATAAAATCAAAACAGAGAGTGAAAGAAAAATCTACCCAAAAGGATTAAAGATGGTGAAAGAAAAACATCTTAAAATGTTATAATTACCCATTTTTTCCTCCTTGACTTCCTCTTTCACATCCTTAGAACTGTTAAAGAAAAGAAGACAAAATATGAAAATATTTAAATGTCAAAATTTAGTCAAACAGGTGAAATGACCTTTAAGTGAAATTCAAATGACATCACTTCCTCATTGAAAAAAATAAAAACATGTTTATTGCAATAACAATCACTGAATGCTTTAATAACTCATAAAAAACTGGTGAAATGTTATTTTGTTCTTTGTCCTCATTATCAATCAAAGACATTTCTTGATACATACATGTACACCTGCCTAACTGACAAGACCATTCTTGTAAAGTCTTTCTACATAGGTTTCACTGTAATAAGGCCAATTTTTTTTGTAATGGAACAAAATATAATGCAAACATCTTCAAGTGCCTCGTTACAAATTATTTCATTAACCTGTTAAGAAATATTGTATTTCAATAGTCAGAATGCAAATTGCATATATTATGTGTTGTAAGGTAGGATAAGCCATAATATTTGTCCTACCTAGCAAACAATTAATGCGTGCAATTTGCATTCTAACTATTAAAATACATTTCACACCAGCATATATGCATAAATTTGGTTACATTACGAAAATGGTCTATTTAGCCAGGGCCGTAGCTAGAGTTTGATGTGGGGGGGGGGGGGCACATACATGTAATTGATTGACGTCCTGGGGAGGGGTCTAAAAAAGCTCAATCGATCTTGGAAATTTTTGGGGGGCACATGTTATTAGGTAGGAAAAGCCATAATGTTTGTCCTACCTGGCAAACAATTAATGCATGCAATTTGCATTCTGACAATTGAACTTTTATAATTCATAACAGGTGAATACAAAATAATTTGTATGAGTCGCTTCACACCGGCATATATGCATGAATTTGGTTACATTACGAAAATGGTCTATTTAGCATGTAGTGCAGAATAAAGAGACAGGAATGTATCATATTCAATGTCTTTTTTTATTATCAGCAATTCATTGTATTTCATATTACATGTGATCCAACAATCATCTCAAGTCTATTGAATATTACAATCATTCTCCACAAAGTGTCATTTTCTTTCAAAACCCATATCAAGTTAAGTTGATGCGTAATGCATATTTCGGGGTACTCAAAAGAAGAAATTTGTCACAGTACATTAATTCCATATTTGCAGGTGTTATGAAAATAAAGACAAGAAATATTTCTATATTTCTAAAAAGGGCAGTACACAAAGATTCATGAACAAATAACCATTCATTGAGAGAATATTGTTAAAGGCAGAAAATCATTTGAGGGAAAAACAACTCTCAAGGCCGGCAAACCACTGTGCCTGTTTCTACAAAACCTCCTTTAATCTATCAAGACTCAAAAGGGAATTAACCCTGTATTCAAGAACAGATCACAATTTCTTCACACCAACATAGCATAAAGGAAGGTGAATCTCACCCTTCAACCATTATTTTTTCTTCTTCATTTTTCATCAACAGAGCATCATTTCTACACAACCTCACATCGTCTGTTGAGAACCAGACAGGCATTGACTCTCTTAAAGAATGAGTCAACGTCCTTCTGGCTCTCGGCAGACTACATTTTCTTCTCACCAACACAGCAGAAAGGTCGGTGAACCTCGCCCTTATACAGAAGCCCATCAACTAGGCATCATTTCTACACAACCTCACATCCTTCGCTGAGAGCCAGAAGGGCATTAAATCTGTTATTAAAGAATGAGTCAACGTCCTTCTGGCTCTCAGCAGATCTTCTTCACACCAATACAACAGAAAGGTCGGTGAACCTCGCCCTTATACCTATTTTTACAGAAGCCCATCAACTGAGCATCATTTCTACACAATCTCACATCCTTCGCTGAGAGCCAGAAGGGCATTAACTCTGTTGTTAAAGAATGAGTCAAATCCCTTCTGGCTCTCAACAACATAGCAGTCAGAAACAAAATTGAATCCTGCCATTAATAAAAAGGGTGCAAAAAATGATAATTCAATCAATTCTCGAAGGGTTTATCATCACGGGCATAGTGAGAGAGGGAGGAGTATCCACCGAGACTCTAGCATTCAGTGGATGTCAATATTGACACGCTTCTATCAGGTCATGTTATGTCCCAAGCTACAGTTAATCATTAACCCTGTGTCAACTGGAGCGAAAGGATAGTGGTCGGCTGGAAAGAGGGGCGGTTTTCACGGGTAAATGTTACATGTTGTTGAGATATCGTAGTCTAGTGCCACGGCACAAATGTCCTTTGGCAAGACATTAATCTCTACATTTGCTACGCTCCACCCAGGTGTTAGAAGGGTACTTGCTAGAATGGGAATGTTAGTGTGCTTGTGAAATGGCACCAGGCCGAAATACTCCCCAAGGAGCGAAGTGTGTGCACTATCATGTGCGGATTGGCATTGAATGACTTTACAATGTTAAGCGTTTGGAAACGTAGTATTAAGCGTTTAAAAAATGTGACTATTATTATTATTATGTTGCACAGAAACTACACTGAAATATATTTGTAATTTGTATAGGCCTACACACAATGCACACAATGTCATATGATATTGTAGGAAATATTTTTTGCCGGACTGTAGATCACAAGGTCCGCGGTTCGAGTCCCACCGCCGCAATAATGTCCTTTGGCAAGACATTGATCTACATTTGCCACACTCCACCCAGGTGAAGTAACTGGGTACCTGGTAGGAATTTATTCCTTGAAATGCTAGAGCGCCGTATGGCAGCCGTGCTAAAGCCAGGGTAATAATCGGGAGCGCCAGGAGGGTCAAATCTGACTGAAATGAGGGCTATACAAGAACCCACTATTATTATTATTATTATTATTATTATTATTATTATTATGACAAACACTCATCTTTTATCATCAAGTTGAAAGAGGAACAAGTTGGCACAAACTCTCAAACTTTGTAAGTTCTTTTTCAGTTTATTTACCAGATTTTCTTGGCCTCAAAAATGTATTTGCAATTCACTTTACTATTAAACTTGCTTTAAGCTGTAAAGATTATGATGCAAGCCAATAACCTATAAATGATAACAAAACCATGATTGTAGTTCATGTCCACTGTATTTATTACTACTGTGGAAACTACAAGGTATCCACATATACGAGTCAAGATAAACTTACAATGTTAAGTTTCTGAAAAGAGAGCATATGGTACAGATACCGACGATACGTGAACCGCTACTGAACTCGTGAAAGTGACCCCCCTAACATTCTTTGCCAATGATATCATTAGTGCAGAGTGTACTCTGAAGATGAAACCAGACACTACGGGGAGACGAGGTAAATAAAAATTTCCTTTATTGGGCTATCTTCATTTACAAGAGTTTGCCCAGGCATCTAGCCAAGAAGGAGAACGGGAGTAGGAGGATGGGAGCCGAAAGAAGGGGATGGAATAAATTTTTTTATTGGAGTAAAGAATTTCTTGGGGGCTTCCTGTACTTCTGCGTGACCATCAGGGAATGTGCTTGTGCATCGCTGTACAAGAAAGCGGTTTAGGCTAGCCAGCAGGAGAGAAGTAGAGGGATGGGGGAAAGTAAAGGGAAGTATGTAAGAGGGATATACAGAGAGGGACGAGACTGTTGAGAGAGGGAGGGAAGAAAAAGGGGGAGGAGGTGGGAGAGTGAGGGCAACAGATGGGGAGTATATAACGATATTGAGAGGATTTACCATTCATGTATCAAATTTGGCAAATAGATTTTAAATTTAATCCTTTTTGCTATTCATGTTTCGATTTCGAAATATATTGGGAGAGGGACTAGCCTAGAACATACTAGCTTTTAAAACAGTACATGTCGCTTGCATCTTTCAAGTACCGGTAGGCCTAAATACTAGTAAATAGTATCAAAACAATACTTTTTGAGGAAATTTTAATAAAATGTCATTATCTGCATGAGTTTGAATTCTCCTAAACTCACAAAAAAATAATAAGCGACTGGTTCCTTCTGCCCTACTGATTAATCTCATCCTATAGACCTGTTGAATACTACATGTACATGTAAAGTCTAAGATAACTAGGGATGTAAACTATACAAAATGCATAGCTCATGAAAATTAAAGCCATCTTCAAATAGTAAGTTCCTATTTAGTAAAATACATTTATTAGTACATTATATTGACGATAGACTTTAACCGATAGTGACGTACTGATGACATATCATGGTCACGTGTATGAGACTGTCATACAGGTGGGCAGTATGCCAGACAGTTTTACAACCTAAACAAGTTGATGATTTCATTTTGTCCATGAAAAGAACATCCCCTCACATGCCAAAATAATTTGTGGCTTATTCTAGCCAGATTCTAGACACCCGGTAGAACACTTGCTTGACGAGCTACAACGTTAACCTTCACAGCCCGGAACTTTGCAAATACCAAAACTTTCATTTACTACTAATTTCGGTGTTTGGGGGCATCTTGATCATTTCAAATTTGTAAAAAATATTTGTGTTAGTCATATATATCTTCCTCTGTCGTAGATAATAGTAAAATAACAATGGACCCAAACCACTCCTAATTTTCATTGAGTTAGTAAAGAGATAAACAGTGCATCAAAGCCACAAACCACAATCCAGTAAATACCATAATCACTATCAAGTTACTTTCATGTTTTTGAGAATTGGACATTGGAGGGTGGTTTATAGTATACCTAGTTTGGTCAACAACAAGTGGTACAGAATGTTACTTAATTTGTATCCCAAGAAATATAAGTTTAAGTATATAAGAATTGTGTTTTCAAGATAAATGTTCAAATATATGGATATTGTATTTTCAATATAAATGTAAATGAATTTGATAGAGGAGTGCTAATAAGGCATGGTAGACTTAAATAAATGTTGAGTTTCCAGAATTCACAATAAATTTTATTGCAGCATACAATTTACTTTCCAATTCTGTGAATCATAAAGGCATAAAACAAAATAATTGATATCAGAGACATATCGAAAGTTGGTGAAAACTGAAACCGCAGGGGAATACACCTACATGCACTTTACACTTTACAGCGATAAAAAAACTGTGACCACATCATTAATCATGATAA